AAGACATTTTCATAGCACAAATGTAAATATTAAAAATTTACTAATTATAGTTTACCACCATCTAATCCTTAGACCTTATTCAAATTTTGTTAACTGTCTCAGTAACATCTATAAGCAAAAGAGTCCAACTTAGAATTACAAACTACGATAGTTTAGCATGTCTCTGTAGTCTTTTTGACCTGAAATGGCTCCTCATATTATCCTTTACTTCCATGGCCTTCATATTTTGCAAAATGTAACCTAAGAATATTCTTTCAAAAGAAAAGCATTAAAATTAAGCATATATTGGGCCCAACCCAATAGCCTAGTGGCTAAACTTCTCACCTTGCATGCAACATAATCCTAGATGTTCATATCCTGATTATTCCACTTCCCATCCAGCTGCCAGCTTGTGACCTGGGAAAGCAGTCTAGGACAGCCTAAAGCCTTAGGATCCTGCACCTGCGTGGGAGACCCAAAAGAAGCTCCTGGTTTTGATTTCAGATTGGCTCAGCTCTAGCCACTGCAGCCACTTGGGGAGAGACCCAGAGAATGAAAGATTATTCTATCTTTCCTTCTCTCTATAACTCAGACTTCCCAATAAAAATAAATAATAAATTTTTAAAACATAAAATAAAAATAAGCATATATAAGTCAAAGTCATCCTTTAATTCTTTCTTGTATTCTTTCTTTGTTGTTTCCCATTATAGAGTTAGCTTCAACTGAGCCGCCAATACAGCTTATAAATCAATTTCTTTGAATTCAGCTTCCCTATATTTTGCTTTAGCTCTCCAAAAGAATACTACCATTGTATAAACTGAAGATCCAGATCAATCCCTAGCAATCTCTGATGTTGCCTTGGTTTCCTGACTTATCAGAATGATTCTTCCTATTCAGCATGTTGAAAAGCATCTTACTCATGGATATGCATTTCTGTAGATTGCTCATTGTCAATCCTGTATCTCCCATTAGACTTTAGATATACAGTCTTTCTCTAACACATAACAGAAGCACACAACTCCACTCAGCACATTAAACCTCAAAAAGACTCACTTGAAAAGGGCAAAAACTATTGCACAATTACAAACTGAAGTTAGTTAATAATTACTAAATATATTTTATTTACAAGCATGGCAGAAACACAAAATAATTCACCTTTGTACTTGAGGAGAAAGTTCAAAGAAAGAACACATTATTGCAGATTCTAAGGCAGAGTAAAATTAGAAACATACTTATTTCTTCACATTTTCAAAATAGAAAAATGATGTAAATATGAATAAAATCAGAAAATATCTCACTTTGAAGAATAATTTGAAGATTGGCCTTACAAAAGAAGCAGGAATACCACCTGTAGATGTAGCAGTACAAGAAACAAAATTAACAAAAGCAGATAACTGGGTTAGTATAGAGGATATTCAAGTTATATAGAAGTTTACAATACTGGTATATACATTTAAAATCCTGAGTTGCAGGATAACAAACCTATTTAACAGGTTCTTTGTTGAATTAGTAAGTATTTTTGAATAGCAAACTAGACAGAGAGTTTTACTTTGGAAATCCGGTCTAGCAGTGGGGTTTTGAAGAATTGAAATGAGTTAAGGATAGAAGGACAATGAGAAAGTTAGCAATAACATATCATTTTTAAAAAGTGTTGGATTCCTTTAAAAAGCAAAATGGGACTGGTTTTGTGGCACCTGGTATACTAGTCTCCTGTGTGCATGCCAGTTTGTGTCCTGGCTGCCCAATTCCAAATCAGCTGAAAACAGCAGCATAAAATGGTCTAAGGACTTAGGCAAGAAAATGGACTCCTGCACCTACATGGGAAAAACAGAGGCAGGTCCTGACTGCTGGCTTTGGCTTGGCCCAGCCTTGGCAGTTCAGGCCATCTGGCGAGTGAACAACATATAGAAGATTCTCTCTGTCTCTATCATACCTTTCAAATAAGTAAATAAATATTAAAAACAGATTAAAGTATCAGATTCCATGCTTTAGATGGTTATAATGAAAATGAAAAGAAGTAAATGTTGGTAAGAATATCCTGTACACAGAAGCTCCCTATATTTCCAATGAGAATTTTTTTATTACATTTGATTGTATAACAGTTTCATAGGCTCTGGGATTCCCCCAACCCCTCCCCAAATGGTGCAGTCATGATGGAAGAGTTTCACAGGTCAAAAAGACTATAGAGACATGATAAACTATCACAGTTTCTGATTCTAAATTGAACTCATTTGCTCATAGATGTTATTGAGACAGTTAACAAAATTTGAATAAGGTCTAAGGATTAGATGGTGGTAAACTATAATTAGTAAATTTTTAATATTTACATTTGTGCTATGAAAATGTCTTTGCATCAAACACATACTAAGCAATTTGGGGTGATGTGGTGTTATATTGTCAACTTTTACTAAAATCACTTGGTATTTTGGGAGACTCTAAAGTACATTTTGCAGGTTGAAAAGTATAAATATAATACAATCTTTATAATTCAGGAGGGTAAAGATGAAAAGAGAGTTTCCAAATACTAATATTGAGATGGAACTTACTTTCCTTCATATGACCATTTAGAACATGAGATGGAACTTACTTTCCTTCATGTGGCCATTTATGTATACACAAAAAGAATGGTGTAACTATTAGTAAATAAAAGAGGAGAAGGATTACACACAAACAGAAGGATTGGAAAGTCAAGCTACCTAGACACGAACCTGAAGAATACATTAGTTGAGTAGGCAGAGGTAGCCCAGCAAGTACTCTAATCAGGGTAAACTGTTTGAATAAAGGCAGGGTGATCAGAAGGTAAATAGAGCACTGGGGGAAAGTCTACCTTGTATGGAGACATGAACACAAGTAGGAAAGTCTAGATGGAAAGGTTTAAAAAACTTTGTGGTAAAGATTAAATTCCAGACTGCAAGATTTGAGCTGACTCACTGGGTAAATACATCATTCTTACATTTTCAGAATAAAATGATATACAATACTGTGTCAAGAATATTAATCTAGTATTACTCTGGAACAGAGACTGAGAGAGCACTGTACATAGTAGATTCAGTTGAAAGACTATGATGATAGTACAAACAAGAAATAACAAAAAAAATATTTACCCATGGTGTAGTAATAAAATACAATCAACAAACTGGCATTCAGCCTAGCAGTTAAGATGTTAGATAACACCCTGAGTACATAGGCTCAATGTTCAACTCAGTCTTCACTTCCCTGCTACTGCAAAAACCTGGAGACCAGTATCGATGATTCAGTTGCCGGGGTTCCTGCCACCCATGGAGGAGATCTGAATTGAATTCTAGGAACCTAGTATTGGTCATAGCAAACTCTGAGGAGAGTGAACTTTAAGAAAGGAGTTTGACCTCCAGCCACTCTACTTTCTGTCACTCAAATAAAGTTTCTTTTATTAAATAAAAGCATTGAAAGTAGAAAAGCTTTTCCATGATGTAGGAAAGATAGTCATGGAAAGTCCTGGAATTATAAGAAAAAGAATGCTGATGCTAGTGTCAAGACAGGAACTACTGAAAGGAGTCATTTTGGAGGTGTAAGAAAAATTATGAGATTGCCCTGTAGACATGAATTCTGTTAAAGCAGAGATGTTTAGAAGCAATCAGGAACTTTTATCTGAAATTTGAACTCAAGGGAAAGAAAGTGTAAAAATATAATGGAAAAAAAGGCATTATAAGCTAGAAAACAATGCTATGCAGCAATCTTCTAAAACATCATGTTTTTTTTCTTTTTCCTCATAAATTAATGATTACACTAACAACTTCCTACAAAATATTTTTTGACAAAAAGATAGAGCTATTCCAGTTGAGAAGAAAAATGTAAGTAATGAGAAAGTGGAAGTAAATATTATAATTTATATTCTCATAAATTTTAATGAAACAACTTAAGTTTTCATTAATGTAGTACTAGTTAACATCTGGAGGATGTGGTAGAAAACTATGGGGTCATTAAAAAAAGACAGGTAAAGAAAATAACTGATGGGAAAAGGTGGTAAAATCATGTTAAACTATTAAAAACACATAGAAAATATTTGCATGTACCTAATATCAATCTTCAAAATATATAAAGCAAAAATTAAGAAGCATACTAGTCCCAGCACCATAGTTCAGTGACTGAATCATCACATTACAGGCACCAAGATCCCATGTTGACCCTGGTTTCTGTTCCGGCTGCTCCACTCCTCATCCATCTCCCTGCTTGTGGCCTGGGAGGGCAGTGGAAGATGGCCCAACACCCTGGGACCCAGTGCCCATGTGGGAAACTGAGGGGAAGCTCCTGACTCCTGACTTAAGGTCAGATTCGCTAGGCTCAGACTGTTGCAGCCATTTGCGGAGTGAACCAGCAGAGAGAGGATATTTGTTTCTCTTTCTCTCCAAGGATCTGATGTGCCTTTCCAATAGAAATAAATAAATCTTTAAAAGAAACATATTATTAAAAATTTAGCAAATATGTAAGCATAATTTAATCATCTCCCAGTACTTACCAAAACTAGCATAATATGAACTGTTATCAATATACTCTGGTGCTTAGCAATGTTAAAAATAAGATAAACACAAATTAAAAACAAAACTAACACTTTTAAAACAGGGAGGCAACTGTAGCACATGTAAGGAAGAAGAAAAATGAGGACTCAGATAAACAGTGCTGGTAGGTGCAGTCACATTGTAATCTCATCTGTATTAACAGCAAAAGACCTGGCAATAGCACTTCTCAAATATTTAACAACCAGTACAGCACACTCTACTTTTTACAAATGGTCACCCAAATGTGATCCTTAATTATTCATAAACTCATTCTTACATGATTAAAATACTGCTCTCCGTTATTTAGTATACCACAATTTAAAAAAAAGCAAACAGTTTAAAAAACACGTGAGGCTGGCTTGGGTCAAAGAGCTTGCAGCTGAAATACGATACTGCAAATTCAGTGGCAGGAAGTAGACAGAGCTATGTGATTGGAGAATAAGACAGCAGGAATGGTATTTATTCAGATAGCTCATTACAGGACACAGAGCACCTTGCAGGGGGAAAAAAAAGGCTCTTCAAATCAGAAACTAGCAAGTTTTCCAAAGGAAAAAAATGGGAACCAAGGGCAAAGTAAGGAAATAAGTTCTATCTTCATTCTATTTGTATAATTTTATGTCTTTGTATGTTTGTTGAAAGTTGCTTACTTTGAGGAAAGTTGATTAAAAGCATATAAGTAGCCCAAATGCTAGAAATTTGCTCAAAGGAAATAAATAACTGTGGATCTGTAAAATGTTTGCTATAAGAGTATTCGATCAAAATTATTTAAATGAGCAGAAAAAAGAAGGCTTAAGAAATTATGCAAAATATATCAAATAAAACATGTTTGTTGGAAATAATACTGGAGAAGAATATGGAAATGTTTATGTGTTACAAGCAGTATTCAAAAGTGGACTAAAAAGTTAATTACTTCATACTTCATGATATAATTTGAGATACTTAAAATGACTTAAATCAAAAACATGAAATGAGTGATAAAACTATACGTAAATATTGTTTTATTTTAACTGGATTCAGAAATTGCCTCTAATTGATACATACATTTCATTTGTAACAATATTAATATCCAAAAATACAATTCAAAATTTCATAACAATTTTTCATACTGAAAAATATATGTTCACATGGTCAAAAATTCATAGCAAATCATACCAGAAGTGAAAATAATTATTATAAAATGAAGGATCACAGGTTTGTTATTTTTAATTTCTTTTGGGAGCACAAAATACAACTTGAGGCTGGAAAAAATTTATATAAGAATTACAGAGTCCTAGATGTTTCAATTATTTTCATGTACTTCTGCTTAATTTTTTTTAATTCTTCATTTTTTATTATAGAGTTGATTAGGCTAAAAGGAATTTCCCCTTCAACTCCCCCACACTGCTTTCCCTGATATTATAACTATAGTCTAGTCCTTCAGCACAAGTCCATCATTCTTCTATTTAAGTATATCCTAACATTGTAAAAGTATACAGAATGGCATAAAATCCAGCATTTTATTGACAGTTTCATTGGGTGCTAAATTTCTTATAAAAGCAAAAAAATTAATCAGCTGTAAGTAAGTGTTATGTTGCTGGGGAAAAAAGCAGCTTGATTAATGTTAAATTTGTGTTAACTGTCTCAGAAAACCAGAATATGACTTTTTAAAAATAATAATATGTGGGTAAGGCAGGGAATGTCAAGTTAGAACATACCATACTGGCTCCCAGATAAGGATTGGGATTGCCCAGGGAAAGAGGTCTAGGGATATATTGGAGTAAGAGTGGTGGAGGGCGTGTTTAACAGAGGAGAAATAACTTCTGGGAACTTCCACAGACTGAGCTAAAACATGGTGGTTTAAAAGGGGAAAACCAGAGAATATTTTGGGTCAGGCCTAGGCACCTGCCCAAATGAGAGACCTGGGCTAGGCTAAATAGCCTTGCTCAAGGTCTTCTGGTGCATGCAAAGCTGGGGGCCATACCCAGCTGTGTTAGGCCATAGTACCTGCCCACAAATATCAGAGCAGAAAGTGGGCCCCAGCAGGCTGGGCAACAGCACCCAGGAGAATATGACAGAACTGTATCTGGGGGCAGATTCAGTAGGAGACCCATAGGCTTGCCTCTGTGAGACTGCAACATATATCAGTTTATTCAGAGAGCTGGAGGTGGTACGGTGAGTTCTTGGGGTGTGCCAAGCTGCACTAGACTTAGTAACCATTACTGAGAGCCAAAATGGGCGCAGACAAGTTGGGCTAAGCTGCAGAACCTGTTGGTGAGTGCTAGGAATAGGGCCAGCTATGTCAGTCTAGGTAGCAACACCCACTGCTGCACACAATAGCTACTGCTTGGAGAGGGCCAGGTAGGAGAAAATGGGAAATCCCCCTGTAGGCCACAGATCCTGCTACTAACTGAAAGAGCTGGGGCAGAGGGAGGGCCAGACCTGGCTGGGCTGCCACACCTATAGGCAAACATGTGGGTTTGGTCTAGAAGCAGTCCATAGAAACACTAATATGGGGAAGAATGTTCTAAGGATGCTACTTGAGTAGTCAGGATAGTTCTAACATATAGTCAACTTCATTGCACCAGGGTTGAGAAAATCCTTCTAAAGTCTATTGCCTGACCAGATCTATTTCAATATACCCACAGATTTAATCATTTGCTGCAAGGCCTGGCCTTGAGAGCTCTTTAACTCATTCTGCTTTTCAACTTTCAGTGAGGTATTTGAAGTCCTCTATTAGCTTGGATGAAATTTTTGTGTCTTTCTACTCTTAGGCTCATCAGCAGGAACTGTAGCCTAGAAGGGGAGTTTAAGAATCTTAATAAGGTGGGTCTCAGGACGGGGCGTCTCATACCTGGATCCCGGACAGCCACCATGTGCACATGGTGAGCTGTTCCCCGGGCCTGCTGGGTTCCTTCGGGGTGAGTAGACCGAGGGGGGAGGTCTCCGGGACTGGGCAGGTCTGGAACCCACCCGCTGCCCTCATTGGGTGGTGAATGGGATTTGGGAGGGGCGCGACCTTGGGCGTGGGAATTTAAACCTCCAGCAGCCTTCCGGCAGCTGGTGGGTCTCAGGACAGGGCGTCTCATGCCTGGATCCCAGATAACAGCCACCATGTGCACGTGGTGAGGCCTTCCTGGGCAGCCATTGAGCCATTTGGTGCCAGGCTCTGCCTGCTGGCTGCCCGGCCAGGCAGCTCTGGGGATTTGGTTCTTTGAGTCGCTTCCTAATTAGCTCCAGGTTGAACCCATTGTGCTTCTTGGACCTGAAACAGGCAGTAACTCTTCCTTTGTAAACCTTGTAATCACTAATAATGCTGAGCACCAAATACCAGTCCATGCAGAAGCTATGGCTTGGGGCTTGTCCTGCAAAAGTAGCTCCAACAGCTGGCCAATGTGTCAACTGGTAATGGAACAGAGTAGATCAGGCACGACTGAGCAAAACTTAGCCCACAAGTAAAACTAGAAACCAGGAGGGAGCAGAGGTCATGCCGAGCTAGGCTCTTGTATCTACTGGTCTGCGGGAGCCAGGGACACTAAGCCACAGTGTCTAAGGCAGAATTCGGGACAGGGGAGGGGCTGTGCCAAGCTGAGTCAGAGCAACCACTGGCAGGCAAGTGATCTATGGCTGGGAACAGACCCGGTTGGGGAACAAAGGGGACAAACCTAGCTGGGCTGAGGTTCCCACCAAGAGGCCCGTGGCCTGAAAGGGGGGCTGCGTTCTGATCTGGAAACAGTTGTAGTCTCCCTTGGCACAAGTGTGGACTGGGATTGGATGCACTGAACCAGGCCGGACCCTGACTCTCCCTGGTGTTCTGGAGGACCAGGGCAGATGTGCAATGGACTAGGCAGGGTCTCAAACCCCTACTGAGCCATGTGTGAACCATATGTGGGTATGGACAAACCATGGCTGGGTTGGAACATCCAACAGCAAGAACCAGATTGGGTGGAAGGCCAGTCAGGAAAAGCCACAGTTCCTGCTATGACAGGAGGTGGACTGAGTAGAGTTGGCTCATGGACCCACTGGTAAGCGTGAAACCTGGCATTGGGAGAGGTTCTGATAGAGGAGCCTGAGCAACTCCTCTGGCAGGACACACACCCGGCAGGTAAGCACAAGAAACATGATAGGAAACAGCCCAGAAAAGGCCATGGAAAGCTACACACACTGGCATACAATTGGCAGATGTGGGGGCAAGACCAGGCTGAATCTGTCCACGTCATCCACTGGCAAATCCAGGCACCAGTGTGGTAGACCCAGGTTCAGTCGCAACAAAGACTAGTGCACAATATGGAATGCCAAGGTGAGGTTGCCTGTACCGGAAGGGTCCGCAGCGCCCAACCAGCCTGAGAACAAGAAAGGAAGTGGGCAGAGCTAGCAGGGGAATAAGGGAGGGTTCCTTTGCTGGACAGCTACTTCCGTAAGAGGAGCATAGGCTGGGATGGGGGCAGACCAGACTAGGCAGAGCTACCACACCTGTGCGCCTCATGTGGACTAGATCAGAGAAAAGCCGGGCTGGGCGGATTATTCCTACTGGTGCAAACAAAATTAAAGTGGGCAAGGGTTGTTTGGGCTTAGACACAGCATCAGTTGGAATCTGGGAGTGGGAGAGGCCTGGGAGGGAAATAGTGGGCTCATCCCTCTTGGGTTACCACTTCCACAGGAGGACATAAAACTAAGATAGTCGCAGGGGTGGAATGGGGTGTGGGACAGACTGGATTACTGCTACACTTACTGGCAAACCAGGGTAGGGGGTGGGCCTAGTGGGGGTTATTGTGGGTCGCTCCAACTAGGCTGCAGCTCCCACTGGTTTAGGTGAGGGCCAAGTATGTGCTGGGCAGAACCAGGCTGGACTGCAACACCCATTGGTTCCAATGGAAGTCGGGAGTGAAAACAGAACCAACCCAGCAATTGCAACCACCAGCTGATTGGGGCGATGGACGGTGCCAGGCCCTGTACTTGTTAGCACATACAAGAAGTTTCTTTGGAGATCTTCCTAATCTAAATGCTGGACTCAGAACCCTAACGAAGAAAAGAGAGAAGACAGAACAGGTCAACCAACCATCTCAGCTATGATGGACTATGTCAATCAGTGGATTTTTCAAAGACCTCATAGTGCTTGGAGTGGCAAGATTGACAGCAATTCATAACTGTTGCAATATCAAAACCACTGGAGCAAGAACCTCAGAGCATGCCCTACATCCGGGACCTGGGGAGGGTGGGAAATTGGGTGGGCCTTCTTCCTTAATACCCCCCTTTAAACATGAAGGTAACAATATGGAAACCATACTAGTATTATCCACTTTCCTGTAGCCCTTGAACCTTCTTACCCTAATTAACTATGTAAAGAATGTCAAAATAAAAATTTATTTTAAAAAAAAGAATCTTAATAAAAGGCACATTTTTATTCAGTGGCTTTTGGGCAAACTTTAATCTCAAAAGCAGACAAGTGAAAAAACTGCTAGACTAAAATCTGTACTTCTAGTGGCTAATAAATCTTTGGCTTGGCAATAACATTCTGAGTAATTCAGAGTTAATTACAAATGACAGTCAAGAAACTACTTTTGGTTCTCAACCAAACCCTGTGAACTCTACAATAAAATAAATTTGCTATGAAAAAAAATCAAGGATAAACTTTAATATACCTTTCATCTTTAAAAAAAACATAATGTGGAAGTACACATCTTTTCAGTTAAGTTTCAGTTAAGTTTTGTTTTCCTTTAAAATAGTCATTTCTGGAAAGCGTAACAGGTTAAACTTTGTAGCAAATGTCTGGATCTATACAAGATACAAGGTAGACTTGGTCAGCCAATTCACCTTAGAAAGAATTTCTCAACTCTGGTGCAACAGAGCCAATGATGTCTCAAAATTACATTCTTCCCTGGGGTCTCTAAGATGTCATCAAATGACCAGCCCTGCCCCCATTGTCGAGTGCTAATGTAGTCTGGCATCAGGAAGTGGTTTCTTTCCCTTCCCTCCAATCCCCACTGGCAGAAGAAAAAAAAAAGAACTGAAACATTTGTCCCACCCACCTTCCCCCATTCCTCAACCCTAATCAGAGGCTCACATGGGCATACATCCTTCTCAACTATGCAAACAATATTAAATATATATATAAATATATTTATATAAATGTTTTTTAAAATAATTTGTCTTCAAAATAATATACCACATTCAGGAGCAAAATATGTTTGATGAAATTATGATATTACAGGTTTTTAAAATTTTTTCCTATGATTCTCTCTCTCTAATCTTTTACCCACTCTCTAATTCTCTCTCTTTCCTCCACCCCCTAACCTCCACCTTTTGTTCAGGTTATTAAATGCAAAGCAGTCGTTGCCTGGGAAGCAGGAAAGCCCCTTTCCATTGAAGAGGTTGAGGTAGCTCCTCCCAAGGCTCATGAGGTTCGAATTCAGGTGAGTAGCAACTATCTGGCTTGGACAGATTGGACCATAAACACAAAATTAGTTTCTGGAAATTCAATCCTGTATGGAATGACTGGGAGACCTTGTGTTGCTGAATACCCAACACTGGTTAGAGGAATTGTGGAATCCCCGAACAGGATCTGCCTGCCCAACACACAGAAAACCAATCACTGACATTGGATGGCAAAAGAAAGTAGGCATTTATTGTAAAGCGCAAAGCAATGAGGCAGGCAGTTATTGCTTAATTCCCAGGCTCCCTGAGTTAGGGGTGAAGGTTCATATAGAAAGTGAGAGTTCCATGTGTGCAAGGGTCCTGGTTGGTCAGTGAAGTCTGTGACCTTTCTTTTCATTGGTCAGCAATGCTACGATTTTTAGGGAATTTATGGTGGGCTCCAGCCTATCTGACAGTTGCATGAAGCTAGTTACATCTTCACCAGAACTTTCCCCAAATGAAAGTCCCCCAGTCAATACTGGCCAGGTAGGTTCTTAACTACTGGAGAAGCAAATGATTCCTAGAGTCTTGTGATTAGAAGCCTGTAATGCCAAATGATCACTCACTTAAGCCAGTGAAGTCCTTTTGATAAAAGGCAGGCAAGGACTCCTTGCACAAAGAGACAGTCAGGAATGAAGATTCTGCTTATATTGAGGGGGGATTTAGTTTTGCTTGGAGTTTCCACTCTGAAAAACTTATAATTTCATATTCAGGTAAGAATAGGTACTCTCCCCAGGAATGATAAATCATTAATTGTTTCTGTAATGTTATCTGATAAAATTAAAATTTAGTTTAACTAGCTGAAGACATATCACCAACACAAGAATCAAACAAGGCAATTCCTTTGGATTAGGATGTCAGGTTTTCTTATGTTCTACGACTGCCGCTTAAAAAATGACAGAGAATTAGGTTCAAAACAAGGGAGAGAGGAAACCCAAAGGGCTGTCCTGGGTGACACCAGTGTCCAGAATGCCCAGAGGAGGGCACGAGACTGCAACCACAGGGAGAAGGGACTGCAATAAGCAGAGTGATTTCAACTGTCTCATTTTCTTCATTTCTGGTCAGCCTTAATTTTCCTCAAGATCACCACTTTACGGGTTTGCTTGATATAGGAAAATGAATGATGCGTCATCATGAACAGGATCTTAAAGAACAAATAATACAGAAATACATTAGTAATTAATTTAGGTAATTTTAGTTGATATCTACAATCTATAAAAGGTTTATTGCCTCTTCATTTCATGAAGTCTCAACAAAAGTTAACATTCTGCAGAAACCCATTTCTTTCCATCTTCTAATATTAAACAATTTCCAATTGCCTTTTCTTTTTCCTATCCAGGAGACAATAATTGCCAATTTTATCACTTTTCATAAGTTTCTAACAACAATGAAAGGCAGAAGGCCATGATATACTGCAAGTGGAAAAGAATCTAAACATCTTTATTCTATTTTTTCCATATTGTAATTCTTATGGGATTATAGGAGCATCAAAGTGGTTCAAGATGATATCAGACCACAAGATAATTTATAACATCCAGTCCAAAAATATAACAACAGAAACATAATCAAGTTTGTGATTGCTTTCTAGATAATTGCTGCTGGCCTATGTCGTACTGATAGCCATGTGATTAGTCCCACATTTGAAGGGGCTTTTCTTCCAGTTATCCTGGGCCATGAAGGTGCAGGAATTGTTGAAAGTGTTGGGCCAGGAGTGACCAACGTCAAACCAGGTACTTTAATATCTGATTCCAAATCAATGGATATGCCAGGTTATTTCAGTAGTAATATCCCTTTTGGATCTGCATGCTATACTTGATTACTATTCACATAGCAGCACCATCTTTCAAAAAAAAATACCTAATATACACAGTCTATCACAGTGAGTAATGTAGCCTTCGTTGAAAAACAGGATGAATCAATCATGATTTAATTTAAATCTATATTCAAATACAGAGTAATTTTTCTTAAATACTGATCCTAAAAATTACTCTGTATTCATAAAGCAATGTAATAAATTTAACCCTGTAGTCACAGCTGTGTTGTTTACTAAGAGTTCTTGGCCAGTTATGTCAGTTTTCTATGACATCTATCAGTTCCTGTTTCCTACAATAGAATAATAATGGTACTTATCTTGGAGTGTGATTCTGAGAACCATGTAAGTTAATACATGGAAGCAGTTAAGATGGTGCCTGCCACATAAGAAGTGTTAAATTAACACTAAATACAAATTGTCATCACCTTAATTTTCAAAGGACAGAAACCATTATAAATTTGGACTTGAATTTAACCAGTGGCAAATGTGGGACGCAAAAGTCAATCTAATGGTTAAACAAGACAATCATGTAAAGTTTACTTCCTATATCCAATTAATTTTCATCATTTACCTAAGGATGTTCTGGTCTGTACTGGGTGTTCATAAATAAAATAAATATAATTACAACACAGAGGTTCAAAGACAACAGAGTCTCAGGACTCTGCACCTAATGCTGTGAGCAGCAATTTATTGCTTGAATGATGAACAGTTGCTTGAATGCTGAACAGTATAACTGGGTATATGTGTGTTTGTGTGTATGTGTATATGACTGTGTGCAAAAATGTGCAGTATTGTATAGGCAGAGAATCTAATATCTTGTAAAGAAACCTGATATTATAGCCATGTTTGCTTTCTTCTCATCATTAAAACATATATGATAAAGAATGGCAATATTTATTCACTCATACATTCACTGTTGTCCAACTATGAGCAACACCTTAGGTACCATCTAATAAATAGTCTTTCTTTCTAGGTGACAAAGTGATTCCAATTTATACACCTTATTGTGGAAAATGCAAGTTCTGCCTGAGTCCACTCACAAACTTGTGTGAAAAATTCTGGTAAGCCCTTTGCATTGTTAGTAATAGGGTACATATTCATAAATGATGTTGGATAGCACATTTCAAATATATAAATGGACTTGAAGAGATGCTAGCCTTTCATCCACCAATTCTACTGCAATGTGTACATAAGATCATGTTGCAAATATATACAAAAGCTATATGCTAGAATGTTTCACAGCAACACTGTTAGTAATAACCAGCATTTCAAAATAGCAAGAATATTTATAAATTTTAAAAGTGGATTAATAAATTGCCATTGTAATGTAACAAAACACTAAATATCACTGAACTTGAACTACAAACATCAACACATAATAATTCACATAAAAATGTTAAGAAGAAAGAAGAAAGTGGCTGATAGACATTTTCACTAAGGTTTTATATATAAGAACAATACAGCAAGTTGCTTATGGCACACACATATGCAGAGAAATTATAAATAGATCACTAAAATAGTAGTTACTTCTACAAGGAGGAGACAATAAATCACAGTTATTTCCCCAGAGACTTCTTAAAACACTTAGGAGTTAGCTTTGAAATTAGTGAGTACAACACCAAACTCTAAGTCTTAATCTCTTTGTTTTAACTTTACTTAGAATATAATACAATTTGTCAATAAAGCTATCTGAAACTATTCATAAGGTTGAACCTACAATACTCAAATCTACTACTGTGCCTTAATTTCCACATTTCCAACATGAGGTTAAAAATCATGCTTGCTTCATAAGGTTGTCATAGGTGTTCAATGAATTAAGAAACATTTATTATAAACCTTTAGTGAAATGATTGATTTAGATAATAACCATAATGCTTTCTAATATCATAAAAAGGGAGAGAATTTGATAGTATGTCCCATTGTTCATGCCTACAATATCAGGAAACACTTCAATAGTGGAATAATGGACTTATAACTATTCATGACAGACTACCCATTGTAATACTAGAGGGGAAATCAGTAGGAGGGAGGGGATTTGGGGAAAGGGATGGGAAATCCCAGAGCCTTTGGAACTGCAGCATAAACAGTAATTTAGAAGAAAGAGAGCTAGAGAGATAATTAGGACATCAGCAATGGAAAAATAAAATGGGCCAGTAACATAAAAAAAAAGGTAGCATCTCCCTCCAGAAAAAATTACCAACTTCCTCATTTCTCCTTTTTTTTTAAATTTTCTAGTAAAGGTAAAAATCCTTTAATCGAACAAGAACTAATGGAAGACAAAACCAGCAGGTTTACCTGCAAAGGAAAATCAATTTACCATTTCTTTGGAGTCAGTGCCTTCTCTCAGTACACTGTAGTAAGAGATGTTAATGTTGCCAAAATAGATGATGACGCAAATTTAGAAAAAGTTTGTCTGTTTGGATGTGGTTTTTCTACTGGCTATGGAGCTGCAATCAACACTGCCAAGGTAAATGGTTAAACACACAGGGTTGTGTAGCAGAAGTTATGAGAAAGTAATGTGATGTAAAGGAGCTGACAGTTCATTGTTCTGTTCACTCAAATTCTGACTATGTAATTTTTTAACTCTATCATTTGAAGCAAGTTATTTTACCTCTGTGGAATAACAACTAGTACAAATACTAACGGAGATAAGGGAATCACATGTTTATAACACCTGGCCCAACAGGCAGCAGCAGGTAGTTGACAGCCAGCAATCTTAATTACTATTAGATAGTTTATTGTCCCTAATTTAAATACATATTTAAATTCAAATATGATGAGTCCTAGATATGGTTATTCCTCCTGGATCAGCCCCTTGGTCAAAGGACATCAGAAGCTACAGAGATCCTCACCATCTCTACACAATCACCCAGGCTTTCTCACAGATGCTAAGGATTCCTCTTCCTCAGCAAGAACTCATCTCTGCTTCTCTTCCCAGCCCTTGGCTTCAAGGGAGGATATTTGCTAGGGGTCCTAATAGTAGCATGATGTATCCCTAAAATCCCAGGTTAGAATTTTAAAGTTCTAACAAAACCTTTAGGTCATATGTAAAAGAATTTCCTGAATGGGCAAACAGCCTTATTTACCTCTCTGACATCAAGTTTTATGCCCTGGCTCAAAACTGCAAAGTGCAAAGACACTGTGTTTAAAAATTTTTTTTTAATTTTCATTCGTCTTGGGTTATATCATGTTCCCTTGGGGCTAGATACATTTCCTTAGCAGGCTGCACTGCTCCCTGCTTCTGCCTGAACTGCAGGCCCCTCAGTATCAGGTTGCGTGTTTCCAAAGCTCGTCACAGTGAACTGTGAGTGCTTCATCCCTGCCTTCCATCCAAAATGCAGAGAAGATTTTAATTGGATATCGCTTTCTGATGGATCCTGCTTCATTCAGCCACTCAGACAGGCAATGATCACCATCCCATTTTCCTGTATTCATTTTCATCACACTGTGAATAAATTCTTCATTATTTCGATTCTATTCTACTTTTTGTTACTTAACAACAAAAACTATTGCCTATTGTGATATCCCCAGAGCTCATCACCATGTGTGGCACTTAACAGGAACATCAAAAGTTTTCAAGAAATTATTTGGTAAAGCCAGGAACATCTGATATTCTTTTTTTTTAAGGTTTATTTTTATTTTTATTGGAAAGGCGGATATACAGAGAGGAGAGACAGAGACGAAGATCTTCCGTTCGATGATTCACTCCCCAAGTGAGCGCAACAGCCGATACTATGCCGATCCGAAGCCAGGAGCCTCTTCCGGGTCTCCCATGCGGGTGCAGGGTCCCAAAGCTTTGGGCCGTCCTGGACTGCTTTCCCGGGCCACAGGCAGGGAGCTGGAAGGGAAGCGGGGCTGCCGGGAATAGAACCGGTGTCCATATGGGATCCCGGGCGTGCAAGGCGAGGACCTTAACCACTTGCGCCACCGTGCCGGGCCCAACATCTGATATTCTTAAAGCATCTTCATGAGGATCTATCCTCAGGTTTATAATCCAGTGGAGTTCATAAGAAGCTGATTTTGTAGCCAAAGTATTGAAGTATGACTTTTCACTGAAAATTTCATCTGTGAGGCAGACAGAAATATTTCACTTTGCTATCAGCATATTTTCTTCCTCAAATGACTTATTCACTCCTTGAATAATTCATTAGTAAGAAAATGAAAATTTTATGCGAAAACAAATTACAATCTGAAAGCTGTTTGGGGGTATGCACTAGAATTAGCAGCTGAAATAACAGTCAAGACATTTGACCATTCTTTCCTACGCAGCACTGATGACTCAAGAAAGAACTTTCACTCTCCTCTTCTGAACTCCTTGTTATCTAGTTCCTGTGCTTCTACAGTGTTTCTTAGATAGTATAATCAACACCAGAGTTTTGACCACAGCTTTCTCCTTTTTTTTAAAGATTTATTTATTTATTGGACAGTCAGATATACAGAGAGGAGGAGAGACAGAGAGGAAGATCTTCCATCCGATGATTCACGCCCCAAGTGACCGCAATGGCCAATGCTGTGCCCATCCAAAGCCAGGATCCAGGAACCTCCTCCTGGCGTTCTACACGGGTGCAGGGTCCCAAAGCCGTGGCCCATCCTTGACTGCTTTCCCAGGCCACAAGCAGGGAGCTGGATGGGAAGCAGAGCCACCAGGATTAGAACCAGCGCCCATATGAGATCCCGGGGCATTCAAGGCGAGGACTTCAGCCGCCAAGCCACGCTGCTGGGTCCAGCTTTCTCTTTTTTAAAACTTAAAATCCTCCCTTTCCCTCTACTTTGTTTCAGCTTTTGAGATAATATACTCTAGATATACTCTAGAACACAGACAACGGATAATTAGCAAGAATTGAATACAAATTAACCATTTTACCTAAATACAGCAAATTACAAAGGAATCACAGTACTATACTTTGAGAGGTGAAAGTGGACATTCTTGTCTTATTCCAGAACTGAAAGGGAATGCTCTCAGTTTTTTTCCCATTCAGTATGATACCAGCTGTTGTCCATGAAGCATAGCTCTGAAATAATTCACCAAACTGAATAACAGTCATTTCAGATTGGTTGATTTCCTTCATTTGTGATACAGTTTTATAACCACAAGCCTTTTATTCATATATCCATGCCCCCATATCATCCTCCCTCTTAAAAAGCAATACCAGCTGCTTTAATAGTTACTTTATAATTTTCCTGCCTACAGGTCACCCCTGGGTCTACCTGTGCTGTCTTTGGCCTAGGAGGTGTAGGTCTTTCTGCTATAATAGGTTGTAAAACAGCAGGAGCTTCCAGAATCATAGCCATTGATATCAACAGTGACAAATTTGCAAAAGCCAAAGCCCTGGGAGCCACTGACTGCCTCAATCCTAAAGAACTGAGTAAGCCTGTCCAGGATGTCATTGTTGAAATGACCAATGGAGGTGTGGATTTTGCTATTGACTGTGCAGGTGGATCAGAAGTCATGGTATGTATATCTTTCTCTTGGATCTTAGTTTTAGTTTGTTCTATGGTCATCCAATAATGGTACAGGGATAGATCATGTTCATCAAAGCAATTACAATCATTTTTTCTAATTCTGTCAACATGTTAACAAGGAAGTTGAACTGTCTGCTGCAAATCATGTTCTAATCCTTCAACTATACATTTCTTGATTCCCACTGATGTGTCCCTCAAATGCCAATATTAGCATTACATTAAAAAGCCATATCAACATTATTTATGTTAAGAAGTTGTATCAATATTACCTATAAATTTTCAAAAAAAAATCTGAGATCACTTTGAGAATCTCAACTTTATTACACTAGAAAGTATTTTTCTGATTTTGTATCCATTTTCCTATTTGGAAACAATATTCTGGAAAGTTTATTCATTTCTAATTGATTAAATAACTTGATTGATTAGTTGATTTGATTAAGTGCTCTGCTTAACTACTTAATTTACTGATTTAATTTTTTATTACTATATTTATTTTTTATTTTTATAATCTTACTTAGTTGATTAGGGTACAAAGGGTCAAGGGCTACAAGAAAGTGTTAAGACCATTGTTTCCACAGTAATACCATTTTTTCCCTGTATCTGGGGTCCGGAGAAAAACAAAGGAAGAGGCCCCACCCAGCCTTCCATCCATCTCAGGTACCTGATGTAAAGCATGCTCCGAGGGTCCTGCTCAAGCAGAATCCACTGGCTGACAGTCTCTTCATGGTTGGGATTCTGAGATCAGCAGTTCAGTTGGAGGGATCCCCAAAGAAACTTTATCTGAGCTGATCCCAGACCTGTTTTTTGTGTGTGCTTGCAGAGTTTGTCGCCTCAGTCAGCTTATGCACGTGCTGGTGGTTACAATTGCTGGGTTGGTTCTGTTTCCAGCCCTGTCTTCCACGCGAATTGATGGGTGTTGCAGTCCAGCCCGATTCTGCCCACCTCCTCATACTCAGCCCTCAAACCAGTGGGGAGATGCAGCCTAGTTGGGCAATTACCCATAACCCCCACCAGGCCTGCTCCCTACCCTGGTTCCCATGCTTACCAGTATGTACTGCAGACTTGTTCAGTCTGTCCCACATCCTATTTAGCTCTCCTACATGTCAATGGGCATTGAAGCCTAGTGCAACCCAACCAACCCTGATATCCAGCCCACACACATACTGGCGGGTGTCTTTCTGTCTAGCCACCCCTGTCCCAGTCCTGGTTTTCGTGCCCTCCAGTGGGAGTGGTAACCCAAGAGGGAGGAGCCCACTATTTCCCTACTCCCACTCCAGCTATGCACTCTCCAGGTGATTCTGGAATTTAACTTGACAGACTTAGTCCCTAGTGCCAACATCTGCCAGCTGATGTTTCAGCAAAGCCCAGTCAGCCCTCACTCAAATTTTTACTTGCACCAGTCAGAACAGTCAGCCCAACCTGGCTTTTCCCTGATCCAGTTCACATGAGGCCCTCAGGTGTTGTAGCCCTGCCTGGTCTGGTCTGCCCCCATCCTAACTCACGCTCTGCAGTGGGAGTGGTTGTCCAGCAGGGGAGCCCACATTACCCCTGCCATCTTTGCCCCCTCCATCCCAGGTTCTCACCGTGTGCTGTTTGGGCAATTCGGCCACATCTGGTACAGCTCACCTCACCTTGGCATTCCATAATATGTTCTGGTTTGTGTTATGACTGAACCTGGCCCAACCCACACTCTGTTCTGGTGCTTGGATTCACCAGCGGGTGATATGAACTGGTTCAGCCTGGTCTGGCACTGACCTATGCCAAATGTATGCTGGTGGGTATCTTTCTCTGGCCTGGTCTGGGTTGCTCCATATCGTGGTTCTTGCGCTCACCTGTAGGGATTGTGTCTCGACAGAGGAGTTTCCCAAACTGTTCCATCAGAACCTCTCCCTGTGCCTCATCTTGTGCATACTGGCGGGTCCATGAGCCAGCTCTCCTTGCTGGCCTTCAATCCATTCCAGTTCTTACTGTTGGATGTTTTAGCCCAGCCAAGGTTTGTCCATACCCAGGCACTGCTCACACATAGCTCAGTAGGCAAAGAGACCTATTTTAGTTCATCCTACATCTACCCAGGTTCTCCAGAGCACTAGATGGTGCTGGCGTCTAGCCTATCTTGGTGCGCCCAGCACCAGTCAACACTTGTGCCAAGGGAGATTGCAGCCATATCCAGACCCGAATGCAGCCCCCATACTGGCCCCCACATTCTCCAATGGGAACCCCAACCCAGCAAGGGTATACTCTCACAGCTCCCCAACCGAGCCTATTCCCAGGCCTAGTATCCCTGGCTCAGGCAGACCAGTCAGTGTAAGAGTCTAATTCAGCATGACCTGTGCTCCATCCTGATTTCTGTTCTTCCTTCTGAGTTGAGGTTTGCTTGGCCCTGCCCGGTCCTCCCTCTCTTCCCATTGCAGCTCAGCCCACCCCACATCCTATTCACTGATCTAATTTAATTATTTTTATTTGATTTGAATTAACAAAGCAACTTATTTTACTTTCATTTATCTATTTTAATTTAATTGATTTGATTTTATTGTTTAATAACATTAATTAATGCTCACTTCAACTATTATGTTAAATAAAAGGGCAATCACATTATCTAAATTACAAAATTCTTTTGTAAAACATACAAAATTGTATGCACAAGATAATAAACAGAAACAAACTTATTCAATTTAACTATATTATATTAATATTTAATATTTAATATAATCTAGGTATAATATATGAGAAAATATTAAATAAAACTCATACATATATATAGTTACAATTATTTGTAAATTAACATTTGTGGAACTATATAAACTATACTTATATAGTAGGCTAATCTTTATTAATAATACTTAAAATGTTATACAGTTAGCACCTACTATATTCTATGCAATTACTATGCAAATATTTGTCATGCTGTTTTATCTAGGGACTAAAACAAGGAAAACTTTTCTATGTCTATGTGGCCATTTTCTCATTTTTATTTTATTTTATTTTTCTATGTGATATCATTTTTTTTATTTCCAAAAAATTTTCTTGAGAAGCAAAGAGTTTTCATCTGCTAGTTTACTCCCCAGGGATATCCCTTAGGGATATCCAAAGCTTAGAGTTAAGAATTCAATACAGCTCTCTCTCACATGGGTCACAGGAAATCAACTACTTGAAATCTCACCACTAGCTCCCAGAGTCTACATTGGCAAGAATATGGTCTGTGGAACCAAAACCAGGCATTAAGCCCAGGTAGTGACATGTGTGATGTAGGAATCTTAAAAGCAAGTGCAAAGGTCCACCCCTAGAATATTTTTTATCTCTGATTGATTGAACCCACTGAGCAGTATCTATGGATCAGAGTGAGCCTTATTTCCCAGACTATGGTGAACAGCTACTTATTCAACCTTTTTTCACAACTTCAGATTTTGCTCCTAAACCTCCAAATTGTAAATATCTTAGCGCATATCCACGGTGGATCACCAAAAACTTACTGATTAAAGTTCAGAATAGCTTATATATTTTTTCCTAACACCATCTATGCACATGTCTTAAAATAAAAACTTAAATTTCAAAGAGCTACAAGAGAAAGAGAAAAGATAAAGAGATAGAGACTTTCCATCTATTGATTCAGTCCTTAAAAGGCCACAACAGCCAGGAATGGACCACACCAAAATTAGGATACAGGAGCTTCTTCTGCATCTCTCACATAGCTGCAGGGACCCAAGAACTTGGATCATCTTTCACTGACTCCCCAGTTACATTAGCAGGGAGCTGGATTTGAACTGGAGCATCTGGGACTTGAACCAGCACTCCTGTAGGATGCTAGCACTGCAGATGGTAGCTTTATTTGTGTGCCACAGGATCAGCCCCAAGTTGTTCTTTTGATATATAGTAAACACATCACAGATTCAGGTTATCTTTGGTATTAATACAGGATAAAATATGATGTTTATTTTACATTCTTTTCTACTGAACCTCAAATTGCATTGAAGCTCTACATAATGATTCTACAACCTCACTTGCTTGAATCTCATCATCTCATATGCAGAGTTGGATGAATTTTCTCTAATGTACTACACTGGATCTCTAATGTATTCCTGGCTACACTGAAGCTCATATTCTACATTTCTACATACTCAAGTGGTCATCTTTATTGTACCTTCCAGAAAGCAGCAATAGAATGCGTAACAGTAGGCTGGGGATGCTGTGTTTTCGTTGGAGTCGATTTAGCTAGCAAAGGATTGACTATTTCTCCAATGGAACTAATAATGGGCCGTACTTTAAAAGGAACAAACTTTGGTGGTAGGTTTCTATTATTCATAGTTTTTAATTTCCTTGATAACACTGAAACTTTTAGAATAAGCACTACTGACAGGCAAAGAAAATAATTTAAATATTGAATATCTATTACATATAAAGATAACACAAACACCAATCATGTAAAATTAGCAGAGTTCATGTAAAAGCATAACTGTAACTTGCAAATTTAAAATCAACTTGCAGTGACGAAAGCCAATAAAAAACACAAATGGTGAAATTTTAGTTAATTGATAAATTCTTTCTCTAATGTAAAAAATCATCATGATTTTTCCTATTAAAAATTCTTTAGATGTACATACTGAAAATTTAAAAGAAAGGAGATTAACCTATTTAGTCACTCAAATCTGACCTAATTTTATATTCCATAAATGCTGATGAAATTGCTTAATGCCATAGACCATCTCTTTCATTTTTTGGCATTTTTACCCAATTATAGGTTGGGATGCACAAACTGTCCCAAAGCTGGTTTCTGACTACAAGAATGGTAAATTCAATCTGGATACACTGGTAACCCATACTCTGCCATTTGACAAAATCAATGAGGCACTGGATTTACTAAAGCAAGGAAAAAGGTAAAGGGATTTTAGAAACCCTTGAAGATTGTTTTATTTTTGTTTAATGTTAAGATACAACCGGTTTGTCTTTCCTGGTCTTCTGCATCAGAGATATTAAATGTACTTAAAAGATTAAAGAAAGACCATTGGAGTGGAAGGTGCGAGAAGCTTCGAAGTCTGTAACTCCCACTTTCACTACCAATTTAGGTAACTGGTACTGGGCTGCTTCCTAGAAAGGGTGGCTTCCATAAGAGGCCCCTAAGAACTAACTCTCAAATTCAGAGTAGGTTGAGGCTTTGGGCCTTGGATTCTAGTGCTCATAACTCCTTTACCACCCCACTTTTCTTCTAAAGTTCTCAGTTAAGGAATATAACACAAAAATACATACAAAGTGGCATCCAAATGGGAAATTTTATTTCTTTACTAGTCATTAGATAAATCTCCCATATTCTCCAAGGAGGTTTCTCTGGTAAACAGAGAGAAGACAGATGCTTTTAGGTAGGTACCTAGTAGGATCTCCTCTTTCCCTCTAGCTCAATGAGACTACCTGGATGCCTAAACAGGTACGAAGTAAACACATAGAAAGGGATTTCCCAGGTGTATTCACTATGTTGGCACAGGTAGCTCAAGAAAGGACAAAACTTCCTACCATGCCAACTCCACAGAAGTTAGGAATTACCTAGCTTATCCCCCTATTTGCTTGTAGTCACCTACTCCTTTGATGCCCAGCTTGGGTCTGGAAAAGCCAAGAATAGTGATTGTTCTAAGACTGAAGTCTCCTTCAATAAAATTTACTTCCATATAATTCCACTGGGAAACAAGAATCTGTTTGGGCTGAATGAGGGTTTAAAATTCTGTTTCCTGCCTTCACCTACTAGCTCCATATATAAAATTTCACATACTGTATGAATAGAAGAGGATAAGATAAAAAATTAAGGCCTAACAAATTTGATGTCTACAAAGAAAGCTTAAACAAGGTCTCAAAAAAATCGTATTTCAGTTAAATTTATCATGAAAATTACACTTATAGTTTATTTCTTATTAACAGCATACGAACGGTCCTGATCTTTTGAAGATGCCGAGAGCAATTTGGAACACCATATGACTGAATATGAACCCTAAAATGATGAACCAAGGAAACCTATAAGCTTAAATAAATGTTTACAGCTAATATCTTACCATAAAATGTTATCATTAATACAGCACCTGTAAGTGTGATGTTAATGGTTTGCATGATAAATGACTATAGATAATGCAGTTCTTATGAATGAATAATGTTGTATTTATAGATTGCTTAAAATTAGCTCTGAGAGGTGATAGCAGGGAATGAAGAGATAATAAAAACAGACTGAACATATTCTATAATATTTTAGATTGGGTGATACATATATGAAGCTTGATTATACTAATTACCCACTTTTACCTACGTTGAAACTTTCCACAATAAAGATACTTACTGGAAAATATTTTATATGTACATCAAATGGTATGTAATTTCTATATTCCTGTAAGCTATTCTTTTGCTGCTAAAAACTCCTTTTAATGCTATTCTTTTAGCCTCACTTAAACAGTGTTTTTATGATGAGAAGTAATCAGACCTCAAAAATCTATAAAAATGTGAAAAGAAAAAAATCATCCTATCAAATTTCTACCTCCATATTACAGCCACATTTTCATTTTTTATAATATTTACAATGCATTCGATTTTGTATTATATTATATTTAGTGCTTTATAGCTTAATGTCTTTAGTTGAGTTTGAGGCCAAAATGCAACTGTCAACCAAAAATAATGAACATAATGTACTTATAATAATATAAGTAAAAATATTTGTTGTAAGAAGACTTAATAAGATTTATACCAAAAGGAACAAAATGATAATTTTCAAACTATTGTAGAATAGATATGACAATGAATGTTTTAAAAGGGTAAGAAGATAGATAACAACTTAGGTCACAGCAATAAAGAATAACCCTCAACTTTTCTAAACAATTCTAAAGCCTATCAATGTTCTTTAAAAATTCTTCAAGGGCTCAATGCAGTGGCTCTGTGGCTGAATCCTAACCTTGCAACTCCCGGGATCCCACGTGGAAGCTGGTTCATGTTAATGGCTGTTACAGTTCCCATCCAGCTCCCTGCTTTGCCCTGGGAAGGCAGTGAAAGATGGCACAAAACCTTGGTACCCTGCACCCAAGTGGGAGGCTCCTGGCTTCCAATCGGCTCAGCACCAGCCGCTGTGGCTACTTGAGAGTAAACCAGCAGATGGAAGATCTTTCTCTCTGTTATCTCCTTTACTGTATAAATCTGCTTTACCCATAAAAATAAATAAATCTTTTTTAAAGATATATCTGTAGTAAAGATATATCTTTTATTAAAAAAATAAATCTTTTTTTAGAGATTTATTTTTTTATTGGAAAGGCAGATATACAGAGAGGAGGAGAAGATCTTCCCCAAGTGGCCATAATGGCTGGAGCTGAGCCAATCCGGAGCCAGGACGCAGGAGCTTCTTCCAGGTCTCCCATGCAGGTGCAGGGTCCCAGGGCTTTGGGCCATCCTGGACTGCTTTCACAGGTCACAAGCAGGGAGCTGGATGGCAAATGGTGCAACCAGGATAGGAACCAGTGCCCATACGGGATCCTGGCATGTTCAAGGCGAGGACTTTAACCACTACAGTGTGGCACCAGGCCCCCAAATAAATAAATCTTTAAAACAAAATCTCTAAGAGAAGATGAACCATTCTGAAGCTTTGGTTGAAGAAGACGGTAGTATCTTAGGGTAGAAACTAATACTCATGCTTATTTTAATCTTAGAGGAGAAATCAGGAAGCAATCTGTCTGGAAACACTTCTTCGTCAGCATTGTGGCAGCTTCCTTATGATTTTCTCTGTAACAGTTATCTTTTTCTCTCCTTTCCTTTGCTTCCCAAAATCCTTCCCAGGCTCACGTGAGACCCATTTTATTTTCAAACATTACAGATACAAAGCAGTTTGTAGTCCCTGAACTGCTGGGCTGTTAGTGGCTTTAGGGAGATATTAATATATTTTATTTCCACTGTGAGTTTTTCAATTACATATGTATATACTTCTTGAAGAAGGAACCATCTTTGAATATCTCAGAGATCCAAATTCATATGATATACTTTAAAAGGTTGTTGCAAAATGTGTATTGGGGTCAGTATGGTACAAAGGATTAAGCCACTGCATGCAAAATCAGCATCCCAAGTCAATCACCAGTACGAATCTGGGCTGCCCCATTCCCAACTCAGCTCCCTCCTCATGCACCTATGGAAAGCAGCAAGAGACAATCCAAATAAAACAGGTCATTGCCGTGCATGTGAGAGACCCGGATGGATTTTCTGGTTCCTGATTTCAGCCTGATCAAGGGCCAACCAATTGACCTTTTGAGGAGTGAACCAGCCAAAGGAAGATCTCCCTGTCTCTGTCTCTCCTTTTATTCTGTAACTCTTTTAAGTTAATAAATTTTTTTGAAAAAATGTCTATTATATATGGTTTTCAAAAAGTTTTGCTCCAAAATAGATTCACCTTATAGTTCCATTTTCCAAGACCTTTCTTTTGAACAAACTGATTTATACACTGGATTCTCAAAACCACAGCAAGTGCATAATAATTGCCACAATTCTCATTAATGTTCATGTTAATATATTAACATAAGGAAAACAAATACAATGTAGTTCATAGATACAATTCTAATAATATAATGATATATCCTTTCCTTGCTGTCTCATTTTTCTAATTTTAGAGACAACGTATTTTTAATTTACATTGAAATTAAAGGCTTAAAGTTCTGTTAAATACAGAGTTTAACAACTAACAGTATCATAGCCCATCACCCAGCATTGTGGTACAGCTCACTAAGCTGCCAGTAGCAGCTCCAGTTCAAGCCCAAGACACTCCACTTTTAATCTGGCTCCCTGCTAATGCACTTTGAAAGTAGCAGAAGATGGCTACTTTGATTCCTGCCACTCACACTAGATGGAGTATACAGCTTCAGCATTCAGCCTGATCCAACCCAGGCTATTATGGGCATTTTGGGAAGGAACCAGTGGAGTATGCTTCATTCTTCCTTTTTTCTTTTGTCTTTTCTTCTCTGGGCATTTAGAGAAGGAACCAGCAGGGTATTATTTATGCTTTCTTTTTTCTTTTCTTTTTTTTTTCTTCTCTTTTCTTTTATGATATAATTCCAAAGGCTCTGAATCTGTGGTCTATCCATGGCATGCATGTGTCAGAACTGGGCACCTCAGTGGATTAGATGGAGCAATGGACAACATGCCCAGATACACACAGAGGACATGGCAGTCTATTGGGGGATGCAAAGGACATCCAGTACCATAGGGGAGGATGGAGAGCAGAACAAATCGTCAATTACTCCGCCAAGCATTGACAGCAAATATATGGGCAAATGGAGACTCTAAGCTGGACTATGTCAGCCAATCAACCTAGGAAGGATTTCCTCATCCTTGGAGCAGAGAGAGCAATAGCATTTCAAAACTATCTAAACCAGTTTCGGCGGCATGGCCCAGTAGCTAAAGTCCTCGCCTTGAACGTGCCAGGATCCCATATGGGCGCCGGTTCTAATTCCAGCAGCTCCACTTCCCATCCAGCTCCCTGCTTGTGGCCTAGGAAAGCAGTTGAGGACCCTGCACCCGTATGGGAGACCCGGAAGAGGCTCCTGTCTTCGGATCGGCATAGCATCGGCCATTGTGCTCACTTGGGGAGTGAATCATCGGATGGAAGATCTTCCTCTCTGTCTCTCCTCTCTGTATATCCGCCTTTCCAATAAGAAAATAATAAAAATAAATCTTTAAAAATAAATAAATAAATCTTAAAAAAAAAAACTATCTAAACCACTTGAGCAGAACCCTTGGATCATGCTCCACATTGGGGACCCTAGGATGACATTATGTGGCCATTCCCCTTCCTTGGGTACTGAAGCTGTTGGGAGGCTGGGTGTGGTTTCTTCCCTTCTCTCCTCCTCTTACCTCAGATACAGGAAGAAAACAAAGGAAAACTTGGAAACAAAGATCTCATTCGCTTTCCCCTAATCATTGACCCTTCCCGCCTTAAGTATACAAACATAATCAAAAATAAAATTTTAAAAAGAAAGAAAAATGTCCGTTCATTTCCTTTGCCCATTACTTCACAGGGTTGTTTGCTTTGTTATTGTTGAGTTTCGGAAGCTCTTTGTAAATCCCGGATATTACTCCTCTGTTGGTTGTGTAGTGTGCAAAGATTTCCTCCCATTCTGTTGGTTGCTTCTTCACTTTGTTGGTCATTTCCTTTTCAGTACAGAAGTTTCTTAGTTTGATACAATTCGATTTGTTTATTTTGGCTTTGACTGCCTGTGCTTTTGGTAACTTTTCTAAGAGATCTTTTCCAATTTCCTATATTATTCTTAACCATTATTGAACAAAAATACAAAATAAAGTTTTACAACACTATATTTGTAGCAACACTGATATGGGCACACATTACTGTTTTTTCATTTTTTTCATTTTTTTCTTTTTTAAATTTTAGTTCCCACATATAAGGGAGAGCATGCAATATCTGATTTCTTTTTGCAGATTATTTCACTCAACACGATGTCTTCCAAATGCATCTACTTTGGCAAAAGTGGTAGAATTCCATTCTTTTTATAGCTGAATAATATTACATTGAATATATATACCACATTTTCTTTATCCATTCATCTGATAATGGACAACTTTGTTGATCCCATATTTTGTCAAGTGTGAGTGGAACAGTTCTATACCAAGAAGTTAGATTGCTAGATCATATGCAAATCTTATTTCTACTTTTAAAAGAAATATCCATGTTGTTTTCCACATTGGTTGTATTAATTTACATACCCACCAACAGTGTATAACAGTTTCTGTTTTCTGCACATCCTCATAGTATTTACTACTTTCTGTCTTTTGGATAATTGCTTTTCCAATAGAGGTAAGATGAAACCTCACTATGGTTACGATCTGCATTTCCCTGATTACTACTGATGTCAAGCATTTCTCATATGTTTGTTGATTATTTATATTTCTTATTTTGAGTAATCTCTATTGAGATACTCAGTCCAATTCTTCACCTCTTTGGGTTTTTATTGCTCAGCTCTTTTCAGTTGCTGATATATGCTGCGTATTAATCTGTTCCTGAATAAGTAGCTTGTAAATATTTCTCCTTTTCTGTTGGCTGTCTCTTCACTCTATTGTTTCTTTTCATATGTAGAAGCTTCTGAATTTGATATAATCCCATTTATCTAGTTTTCCTTTTGTTTCCTGTGCTTTTTGGGTTTTTTTCAGGAAATCACCACCATCACCCATATATTGAAGTCTTTTCCCTACATTTTCTTCCAGTAACTTCATAGTCTAATCCTGGGTTGACTTTTTTAATATGATAATTTTAACATGATAATTAAAATAGATTATTTTATCTATCTACATATACACATTCACTTATGTC